CCGGCAGGGCAGCAGGGCACCAGCATCGGTAGCGAGGTGGCAGGGACGAGGGAAGCCCGAAATGTCTGGCCTCGCCCTCTCAGCTATTCTCATTTTTTTTAGTGTCAGTGCAAATCTCTATGTGGATGCAGAATTTAGCTGTAAACGCTCCTCTCATTTTCAGCCAGTGGGAACTGGAGGCAAAAGATTGATCATGGCATTTGCTGCAATGATATCGACCATTATCTTAGCAAACTGTATTTTTCACTTTATAAAGGATTTAAGTAAGTCCTCTTATCTGAGAGAGAAATAGTCTTTTTGTCTTGTGTAATTCCCAGCACATCTGGTTCCAAGGCACTGGGAATGTGTGATCTTTCCCCATCGCTACTGTCACGGCACCCGCATCCTCAATTCCATTTGTGTTGTTCTGTAAGTAGAATAATACATGGTAAGAAATACAAATATGTAAATGCTTTTTGTATTGAGCTTCCAAGCTTGGCAGGAAAAAGGGCTTCCTCTTGTAGAGTAACTTAGGCTCATTTCCCGCTCTCATGCTGGGAAACCTTAAAGGGCAGAAGAATCCAAAGGGAGACGGTTTTATTTTCCATCGTTTTTCATGAGCAACAGGAAACAAGGGTCTGGGGGGACTATTTTGGGGTACGAGTTTACCATCTGTGGCCTCTTGAAACTAACTAGCATGATTGATCAGTTTGGAGAGCTGCCATGTATTTGTGCTGCTTTCTCTAGCACTGTGTCACCAACAAACCTAGCTCAGTGCAGGCAGCACGTTAGGTAAAGCGGTGGTGAGGGTCAGCCGCGTGGAGTGATCTTCATGGTGAGGCCTTCCTGGGAGAGCTGGTGTCCTGCTGAGTTTAGGTGGCAGGACTGAGTGGGCAGTGGGTCTTGACGGCAATTGCTTGTCCAGGTGACCGTCCTATACAATTCAATACCCTGATCAGAAAAGAAAAATGAGCCACACAGGTGACATTGTCTATTCCTTCCTGAGAGAAAGTATCTGAAAGATTTGGTGATCGTCTCTCCTCTACTGACGCCACAGCAATCATTTTCCACCTACATGAATGCAGCAGTATCTGTAAACCACACACTGGAATAGACCAGAAGGTAAAAGGGAGGATGGTGGGATCCTAATTTTTGCTTCCAAAATGAAAGATTTTCAGATTTAGTGGGCTAGACAATAACATCCCAAAGGAAAAATAATGGGGTAGTGGTTAGAGGTCAGGGTTTAAGAGCTAGGAAACTGGAATTGTGTTCTCTTGACCCTTTCAGTTTCCAGATCAATCAAGGTAGGTCACTTTTGTCACCTGAGTGTCAGGAAGGTCATGTAACTAACTGCATAACATAAAGTCCTGCATTAATAAATGTGGGCATTTATTAACATCAGCAGTAAGCTTAGAGGTTGTGGAAAGATAAACAGAATGCAGGCAGTATGAAAAAATAAGTGTTACAATCTGAGCAAGGAAGGAAACATAGGGATTATTCACAGGATATCACTTAATACTGTAATTTCATCGTTGACCTCTTATAATCTGCCTGCTTGTCTTGTTTCCAAACCAATAAAATAAGCTTTTCCTACAGTCAGAGGTGAGCATAATTTTTCTAAGCAGTAGAACTTCTGAAATGCCCATATCCAGCTGGGGAGGAGGGTCACTGTGTTTTGTTTCAGGGCTTTTCTAAAGCAATGACTTTACAAGACTCGTGTAAAATCAGGCTGATGCATGCCTAGGTTAAGGACTTAATTGTACCGAGTAATATCAGACAAGTGGGTGGAGAGCTGCAAAGGGCAGGGTGGGGGAGTAGGTAACTGTCGTTGCTAACTATCACCCGAGTGTGTGGCAAGAAAGAACATTTACCTGTGAGTCACATACTTGGCACAAAGATGCTGCCTGCCAGTTAGCACAGCTGGCATCGTACTGAATTAGCTCTCCAGTCCACCTCCTATTGTTGCCATTTCCTCACTCTGTGAGCCCTCTAATTGTGAGGAAATAATAACAGGTTTGATTTAATATCAAAATTGAAATGCTGGTTGTAACTCATGGTCAGAAGCCAACAGAAGTGCTTAGTAAAATGCTTTATCTGAGGGTGAGTAGATCTCTCTTCCTCTCTTTCTTTCTCTCTACTGTCATGCAGTCTGTAGCTGTCTTCAAGGTCCAGACCTCCAAAATCAGAGTATAAGGGGTGAATGGTGAGACTGCATCACGTAAGGAAGGCTGGCCCTGTGATCAGTGTGCTTAATCAGGAAGTTTTGACAAACACCAGTTCAATTATCTGCTGTGCCAGAGGCAATTCTTTCTGAGTTTGAAAAAAAAACCAAAAACACTTGGAGGAATGAGACGGATTGGATGACCTCTGCAGGTCTTCTCACAGTCCTTTTTTTCCATGATTTTATGTCTACATCACCCAGTGGGACTCAGCTGTGAGCTCTGAGCCTGCAGATGCATCTGCACAGTGCTCTGTGCAGGAATTGGCTTGAATCTCAAGAGCTAAATTGCTGTTAGTACAGTCATTGAGTCTGAAAATTAAACTCTGCTTCTGAGTTGGGCAAATTTGCTTGCACCCAGGCCTGGATGGTACAGCTATAGTACTGACTGATTTATCTCTCTCTCTCTCTCTCGGTAGAGCCAGCCTGGGTTATCTGCAAGTCTATATGAAAAATAGCACTTCAGGGGGCTGGGTGAGTGAGCAGTCTCCGAACTATAAGACTCTTAAAAACCGTTGATAACTTTCTCAGTTCAGGATCTCCTGGACATGGGGACATGGGTGTATGGGTATGTATACTTAACTGCTGTCTGCTGTTCTTGTCTGTGACCTCTACTCCCAGCCATGTGAAAAAGCCTCCAGAACTGGTATTTCATGCGGGGAGCGAGGATCAGGGACCCTGGCTGGGAATCACTTTAATGAGAAGGGTAGTGGGGCAAAAAGCAGTGACTTCTGAGGGCTAGATGGGAGGTTTCTAGTGGGAGTTGAGGACCTCCCGGGGCTTGCAGTGGGAGAAGAGTTTGTTTGCCTTTTCACTTAAAAAAGCAAGTTGTCCTAGTTTTCTGTACGTACTGGTACTTGGCAAGGAATAGCCAGGGGGAATTCCTGTGTTGTCAGGTGTATATATACAGCTCTCTCTGCTGGACTCTGAGGGATTTAAACTTTTTGCTACCTGGAAAATATCATGAGGGAAATTGCCTGTGTGCCCTTCACCTTTTTTCATGGAGAGGGACTGCCAACCCTTGTTTTAAAAAAAAAAAAAAAAAAAAATTCCATAACCCCTGAGCTGTATATAGTCTATGTACTTTGACACTTGCTTTTAAAAGATTACCAGCTAGAAGTTAGGAACTTTGTGTTCTCTCTCTTTTTGTTTCTTACTAGGTAAGGTAAGGAAAATGCATACGAAACTTGTAAGATGATGTTGCATATCTAGCACCAGAAATGCCTGTGCCAGAAGTTCTCCTGCTGTATATCAAAAGAGCTCATCCGTGACGACGTTTGGCATTAAACCACTGTGGGCCAGAGATGGAAAATGTCTGGCAATTCTGAAAACAAACAGCAAACAAAAAGGCAAGGAAACACCTCTTTTTTTTTTTTTTTTTTTTTTTCCCCTACCAGAAAACTTCTGGAAATTCTGTGAAAGATTAAAGTAGCTGTTTTAAGCATATACATACAGGAACGAAACTATTTACTTCTTTAGGAACGAGACATGCATTGTTACCAATATAGCTTGCATGCAGACATTTCTGCTAAGAGTATTTATGGCATAACTGAATACCAGTTCTTCACTTGTAAGTAGCTATTCACGTACCTGTTACTAGAGATGGAATCCTACTAGCATGGGGGTATCTACTGGCTCTTTTTCCTGTTGATATCTCTAAAATGGAGGGTCTTTCACAATGGAAAGCATTAATATTGGACTTGTAAACGGAATGGAAAGTCATAGCCATAGGGCCAGGAAATAATATGTAAATTAAAACTGCTGTTATAATGCAGATAGAGAAGGAACTCATTTTTAGAGAGCTTGGAAAATAACCACGACATTCCTATGTATTTTCATTGCACTGTGATTAAATACACCATAGCATTAAAGACTGGAAATTAATCTGGCCTCCACTATGTGAGAACTGTAATTGCTCAGTACCAGCAATTTTACAATGTGTTGTCTTTATTTGAAATAGCTACTAGGAAGAATTCTAAAAGCCTGTAGTGTAACAATAATAATATCATTTTAAAATTCACTCTAAAATCTCTCTGCATTATGAGTGAAAATATTTAATATCAAAGCAGATTTTTTTCCTATTTTCCAAAAAAGAAATAATAATTTGTCCTTGTCTTGCATTTAAAAAAAATAATAAAAAT